TGCCTCCTGGGCAGTGAGCGGTGACCCCAGGTCTCACCGCGTGCTGCCCAGAGCACCCACCCGCTAGCTAGTGCTCGCTCCACCTGCATGCCTGGGCTCCTTGGGGTGGGTGCTGCTTGGGGAAGGAGAGGTGGGTGGCAGCTCTGTACAGGGTGAGTGGTGCTTCTCTAATATCGCCCCGCCCCCCTCTGGAGAGACACCCCCTCCCCTCAGGTGCAGAGGGGTAAGGCCATTCCCACCTGACAAAGGCGCCTTGTAGAGAGCTGCCCAGGGCCCCCGGCTCGGTGTGAGTGTATGGGCATGTGTGCGTACACATGTGTGCATGTGTGTGGCTCAGCCTGTGTGCACGGGGGGGCTGGGGCTGGTGGTGCCCCACCGCCTGTGCAGCCTGCTTGGCTCGTAGGTACTGCTGTGGTCTTGTCCACTGTAGACAAAGTGGTGGTTCTTTTAATCCACGAGCCGAGCTGCTCTCCTGCCGATATCTGCCCCCTCACACAGGCCAGGCTCTGCTTTGCCTTCACCCTGTCCATCCAGAGGGGCCACCTGGGACTTGGCGACCTCTCCGAAACGGAGAGCCGAGCTGGGCCCCACAAAGGTGGTAGTTCCCAGGGGAGGTGTGCCTCTGACCCTAGCCCACCCTCAAACAGACTGGCAGCTGGGAGCGTGCTTGGAGCAGCTCTTTGAGACTCTCTGGGCTCTTGTTTTAAAAGAAAGGGCCCTGCATCTTTAATCCCCTCACCCTAACCCTGCCCCTGCATCTTCCCACCTGCCCCCTGCGACACACCCCAGGTGCAGTAGTGTCAAACCCCTGCCTGCTCTCACCCTGCGCATTATCCCAGGAGGGCCGTCATCTGTGTAAGCTGTCCCATAGAGGTGTACAGCTGCCCAGCACATCCTGCCCCGCGCCAGGGTGCCTGGGTTGCGCAGCCCCGACATCTCGGGCACCGGGTGGTAGTGGGTTTGACACCCCGCCTCCCACCCTGCATGTAAGGACCTCTGATGCTGTGCCCACTGCTGCCTTGCTGCCCAACCCACCGACCCCCTCCCCACATTCAGGCTCAAGCCATGGGTCTCGCTTACAGATCACGGCTACACAACGCTGGCCACCAGCGTGACCCTGCTGAAGGCCTCCGAGGTGGAGGAGATTCTGGACGGTAACGACGAGAAGTACAAGGCCGTCTCCATTAGCACGGAGCCCCCCACCTACCTCAGGTACCACACACCTGGGCCCCCCTCCCTGCCTCAGGTACGGCTCTCAGGGAGCCCCACCTATATCAGGCATCACCAGAGGCCTGAGCTGGTCTGACAGGGGCCAAGTTCTTTGTTAAAGCATTTCACTCTGTGGGCACACGGCCTGAGCTCAGCCCCGGAGTGACTTCCTGCACCTCCCGTGTTTGTAAGAAACACTAGCCGAGCCCCTGGTCCCAGTGAACGTGACCACTGTTCCTGAGTCAGAGCCAGAGTGGTCCCGGAGACTGACAGAGGAGGAGCTGCCTGGGACGTGTGCACAGAGTGGGACCCCTCCACCCCCAACAGACAGAGCTCACACCAAGAAGGCAGTGGCGGCCGGAAGGGGATGTGTGATGTCGAGTCCGTCAGGCCTGGGCACAGGGCGGCCGGCTCACTGGTCAGTGGTGAGGACAGGCCTGACCGGGCAACACAGGTGCCCAGCAGCAGGGCTGCTTATCTCAAGATGGGCAGTTTGAACCCACTAGCTGCTCTGAGGGAGACAGATGAGGCTGTCTGTTCCCATGCAGATAGGCAACCACAGAAGACCTAAGGGACTGTGGTGATCTGCCCCATGGGTTGCTCTGGGTAGGACCTGACTCTGGGGTCTGTACTAGTTTACCACTGGTGGTACCGCAGAGTAAGCGTTGGGCCACGGGCCAGCCGCAAAGTGAGCAGTTGGTTGGAGCCCACCAGCTGCAGCCTGGGAGAGCATCCAGGCGGTCTGTGCCTGTTAAGCACCCACGGCCTGGGGAACCCCAGAGAGCCCCTCTGGCCCGCCCAACGGGTGCTCACTCGGGAAGGTGGGCTCCAGAAGGTGGGCTCCACGTGGCGGCAATGGGCTGGGCTTGGCCTGGGTCGCTGGAAGGACGTCCAGCAGTAATAACACACTCTGGGTGGTGGGCCCCTCAGGGAGCTTTGTGACATCAGACAGTGCCATGTCCCTGGCCGGTCATTCCAAGTGCTGAGGCGGCCTGTAGCCTGGGAGCCACCACGGGCATACGGGCCCCAGTATGTCCAGCCTCGGGCGGGCGGGCGAGTGAGCCAGCTGTGGCCCTTGAATTCAGGCTCCACAGCCCGAAACAGGGGACCCCGTGAGCCCCTCCCCCGCAGCAACCCTGTGCTGCCGTCCTTCAGGCTCCAAGAGGTCAGACGGTCAGATGCACAAGGCGGAAAGGAGAAGGTGGGCCCGGCTGAGAGGAGTGTGCTGGTGGGAACTGGTTTCTTTCTAGACTGTTCTGAGTGGCTCTGGTCCAAGAAAAGCTGGAGGTGGCCGGCAGCCAGCCCAGCCGCCCGAACAGCTGCCCGAGACGTGTGCGCCGCAGATTCTGACCGGGGGCGGGGGAGCTGCACGGGATCACGGGCTCGGGCAGGAAGGGAGCCCCCACAGGAAGTTGTGGGGGGCTCTCAAGTCTGCACAGTCAGCTGGGAGCCTGCTGGGCTGTGGGGTGGGTGTCACATGAGGAGCAGCTGAGGGGTGCAGCCCCCACGCCTGCAGCCAGGCGGCTGACGGCCCCTCGGGGCTCCAGGGAGGTCTCCTTGTGGAAGGGAGTTTGCCTTGTGTGGCGCGTGTCCTCTGCCCTGTGTCCAGCGGTGTACACCATCAAACCTTACCGGCTCTAGGGGGCTGGGGGTTCTCACGTGTGTGCTGGCCGTGTCTGACATACCTCAAGTTGTCTACTGGGGGCCAGGCAGCCCAGGTGATGTGCAGGACATTGGAGACAGACCCCAGGGTTTTGATGGAGCCTGCCCAGCACAGGCTCAGCGAACGTAGCTGCAGGCACTGTTTCCATGCTAAGAAAACACCCCAAACCAAGCCCCCAGCCCTGGAACCCATTCTCACTCAGTGCCCTGCTGGGGGTCAGTAGAACTGTACCCCCCCAGGGGGAAGCCGATTCTAGCAACCTGACCTGTGTCCCTGGGAGCAATGGTAGGTGTGGACATCCGTCTGGCGGTGAACCTCCCAGTGCTTAAGGCTATGTGGCACCAGGGCTCTTCCTGGTCATCCTCACCCCTGAGCTGCCAGGGACAGAGGGAGCCTTTGTGGGTATGTGGGCCTGGCAGTCTAGAAGGCCGGTGGTGCGTCCCCTGGAAGGCTGCTCCTCCAGGCACCATCCTGGCTCTTGGCACGCACATGTGGCCCAGGTTAGTGCCTGAGCCGGGCACTAGGTTGCCATGCAGCCCACTGTTGCAGGGTCAGCAGTATTGGACTCCCAGGCTGACCAGAAGAGGGTTCCCATGTCTTTCCAGGGAGCAGAAAGCCAAGCGGAACAGCCAGTGGGTGCCCACCCTGCCAAATAGCTCCCACCACCTGGACGCCGTGCCCTGCTCCACCACCATCAATAGGAACCGCATGGGCCGGGACAAGAAGAGGACCTTCCCGCTGTGGTGAGTGCGCCCATGGCCACCCCTCCACCATCACCTCTACCTCCACCTCCTCCACCACCATCGCCACCTCCACCTCTACCTCCACCTCCTCCACCACCACCACCTCCACCTTCTTCCACCACCACCTCCACCTCCACATCCACCACCTCCACCTCCACCTTCCTCCACCTCCACCACCACCACCTCCACCTCCACCTTCTCTATACCACCACCTTCTTCACCACCTCTGCCACCACCATCTCCTCCTCCTCCACCACCTCCACCTTCTCCACCACCACCACCTCCTCCTCCTCCACCACCACCACCACCTCCACCTCCACCTCCTCCAACGCCACCACGACCACCTCCACCACCTCCATGGTCTTCAGCACCGTCTCCTGGAGTCCCCAAAGCAGCCTGCTTCCCCTCGCCTCCAGGCTGTGGGTCCGTGGGCTTCTCTGGCCTAATTGGCCTACCTGCTCTGGTCCGTTGTGTGTCATCCTCAGCACCCAGCACCTCGGGCAGCTCTCCCCGGTACTGTCCCTGTCCCTTGGCGTTGTCCCATGGCCAGCATGCAGCTTCCCCCGTCAGTGCCCCGAAGGCCTTAGTGAAGGACGGCAGCCTCGGTTGGGGGTTTGTTCCCAGGAGTGTGTGTCTCCCTGGTGGTGGTGACCTTGCCATTGCTAGGGGGCGTGGAGTTGGTTCCAGCCCGTAGTGACCCCCTGCACAATAGAAGGAAACTCTGCCCGGCCCTGGGCCTCCTCACCGTTGTTGCTCCACCTGAGCCCATCGACGCAGCCACGGTGTCCGTCCATCTGCTTGAGGGCCTTCCTTCCTTTCACCGCCTCTGCTTTACCAAGCATCATGTCCCTCCTGACCCTGTGTTCAGAGTGCGCCAGACAGAGTCTTGCCCTCCTTGCCTCTGCGGAGCACTCTGGCCGTGCGCGCACTTCACCTTATAGGCCTGTCAGATGTCACAGGAGCTCGGTGGCTTCGCGTACCCATTGGGAGAAAGACGGGGCTTTCTACCCCTGTAAAGAGTGACAGTCGTGGAACCCACGGGGCAGTTCTGCCCTGACTTACAGGGTGGGCATTGACTCGAGGGCAGTGAGTTTGGCGTTTTGAGTCTTACTCTGTGGATGAAAGTTGCTCACTGCTT